GGTGTGTAGCCAATGGCCACAGCTGGGGAAACATCTCCACAGCCCTCGCTGACCTCACAATGGGGGGGGGCACCTCAGCAGTTATTAAAAATGAGGTGACCCCCCCATTGTGAGGCCTGGGAGGGCTGTGCAGATGTTTCCCCAGCTGTGGCCATTGGCTACCAACTCCCTGTGATGTCACAACGGGGTGCAGCCCCCTCTTCCTGTGACATCACTACTTAGAGATTTCCCATACAATAAAAACATGGCACAAAGCACAGATTTCTTTTCAGAAAAAGTTTATTTTGAATAAAAATTAGAAAGCCGTTTATTTAGAAAACAGGAGCTGTCTGGCTTAAGTCCTGCGGTTCTCTTCATGACTTTCACGGCTGGTCTCGGGGGAAACCTTGCCGGCTCCAGCCATCCCTGAAAGGCAAAGGCAAACAGATGAGTGGGGTGGCCACCACCCGACAGCGTCCACCCAGACCCCTTGCCTTCTCCTTGCTCCACAGCATCCCAACGCCAGGCGATCGCCTCCTTCTGCTTGCCAGCCTGCCACCACTGTCTGGTCTTGGGGAAAACCTCGCCGGCATTGGATGTCCCTGAAAGGCAAAGGCAAACACGTTGATGGGATGGCGACTATCACAGCGTCCACCCAGACTCTTCCACAGGCTTTGGTCTGACAACTTCATCCCTGACTGGCCTGCCCCGTCCAGGCAGGTTGCAGAAGTGGAGGTTCACCAGTTTGAAGCGGTAGATCCACATGGGACTACACCGGTTCCCCTGCTTTCCACCTCTAGGGCTGTGCCGGGTAGTTTCCCTCCTCGCTTTGGCCGTCGACGTAAGGTCAAGAGCTCTACGAATGTCAGCAAGCTGACATTCTCAAAAGGTAGGTCTGTTGACCTTAGGTTGAGGGCCAAAGACAAAGGTGAATGCCACCAGATAGCGTTCACAAATGGATCGGCCAGCTTCACAGGCTCTCGGCCTGCACTGACATCCCCAAATGTGAACCTGGCTTCACCAAGGCGCCACCACTAGAAGCCGATGGGCAACTCTCCCTCACCACAGAATTCGCCAAGGGACACTCACCCGCCGCCAAAGGGGCAGCTTCCCTCCTCGGTTTGTCCGCCTGTTAATAAACAAACTAGGCTTCCAAACCCGCTTGCATCCCCTCGGCCAGTCTTGTAGCCTTGCGGCATCAACCAGGCACTGAATGCAAACCTTCCGGCAATCCGTCCACCACCAACAGCCGCGCCAGGTCCATTGCCACACCTCCCCCTGCTTCAGACCTGAATTTCATCCACCTTCAAGTGCGATCCCACCAGCAAGTAAACCTCAACTTGCCTTCTCCTTGCTCCACAGCATCCCAACGCCAGGCGATCGCCTCCTTCTCCTTGCCAGCCTGCCACCACTGTCTGGTCTTGGGGAAAACCTCGCCGGCATTGGATGTCCCTGAAAGGCAAAGGCAAACACGTTGATGGGATGGCGACTATCACAGCGTCCACCCAGACTCTTCCACAGGCTTTGGTCTGACAACTTCATCCCTGACTGGCCTGCCCCGTCCAGGCAGGTTGCAGAAGTGGAGGTTCACCAGTTTGAAGCGGTAGATCCACATGGGACTACACCGGTTCCCCTGCTTTCCACCTCTAGGGCTGTGCCGGGTAGTTTCCCTCCTCGCTTTGGCTGTCAACGTAAGGTCAAGAGCTCTACGAATGTCAGCAAGCTGACATTCTCAAAAGGTAGGTCTGTTGACCTTAGGTTGAGGGCCAAAGACAAAGGTGAATGTCACCAGATAGCGTTCACAAATGGATCGGCCAGCTTCACAGGCTCTCGGCCTGCACTGACATCCCCAAATGTGAACCTGGCTTCACCAAGGCGCCACCACTAGAAGCCGATGGGCAACTCTCCCTCACCACAGAATTCGCCAAGGGACACTCACCCGCCGCCAAAGGGGCAGCTTCCCTCCTCGGTTTGTCCGCCTGTTAATAAACAAACTAGGCTTCCAAACCCGCTTGCATCCCCTCGGCCAGTCTTGTAGCCTTGCGGCATCAACCAGGCACTGAATGCAAACCTTCCGGCAATCCGTCCACCACCAACAGCCGCGCCAGGTCCATTGAAACACCTCCCCCTGCTTCAGACCTGAATTTCATCCACCTTCAAGTGCGATCCCACCAGCAAGTAAACCTCAACTTGCCTTCTCCTTGCTCCACAGCATCCCAGCGCCGGGCGATCGCCTCCTTCCTCCGGCCAGCTTGCCCCACGGGGCAGGGGACCACCCGAGCTGAGTGCCTCCACTGAGGCAACTGCCTCGGCCTTTGACTTGGCCAGCATTTATACCCTCTCAGCTGCCCAATGTTTTTGTGACCTCACAATGGCAGCATCTGGGGAGGCATCCCCATCACCCCTCAGACCTCACAATGAGGGGCGCGGCTCAGCAGCCATTGGCTCCTTGGCTTTTGACCAAGGAGATATATAACACCCCCCTCCCCAATTTGTGCCAGTATCTGTGAAGGCCACACCGGAAACCCAGGGGGCAGGAGGGGGCATTTTTCAGCCCAGTGGTTGCGTTTTCCTCCACACAACATTGGTCAAACACACAAATAAACAGAACAATGAAAGTGAGTCTCATCTATGCACAGAAATATTTTCAAGGAGTGACATGCAGGGAGAAAGTTATCATCTCAGGAAAAAAGCACCTTTTCATCAAAAAATCATTTATTGTATTTGACTAAAAGCCATTAAAGATCCAGTTCCAGAAGCATCCAATCCAATAAAACCTATTAAGAAAGACCCAGAAACAAGCAACTATTTACAATAACTCAAATTAATGAATTCCAAGAAGGCTGTTTTATATGTGACAAGCATCTCAGTCAGGTAATAGCCAACCTATTTTCCCTTCTGGGTTCTGTCCCTTTAGCGGTGCCAATATCTTTTCCAAAAATCTCTCTGGGGTTTGATAGTGCTGACCATGGAGTATGCAATGGGGAAGATCTTCTGCTTCACTGACCCCACAAATTGCCTTTCAGGAAGGCCAGAGCTGGCAAGGTTTCCCTCGAGACCAGCCATGAAAGTCATGAAGAGAACCGCAGGACTTAAACCAGACAGCTCTAGTGATGGACTACATGGAATTGGCAGAAATGACCGGCAGAATCCGAGACCAGGGAGAAGAGTCGGTGGAAGAAGATTGGAAGAAATTTAAAGACTACCTACAGAAATATTGTAAAATTAATGAATGTTAGAATGATGTTGGATGAAAAGTTATGTGGTTTTTAGCTATAATGCTATAAGGAGTATGAAAAAAATGGACTATTAACAGACAAAAATTTAATGTTACATTATTTTAAGATTAAAGATTAGGATAAACAAAGAGGGGAAGGATTTGCTGAACTAACAAATTGAACTGGAATACAAAAAGGGAGGTGTGAGGAGGTCCGGGAAATAAGCAAATGAAAGAAAGTGATGGAAAGATGGAATTGTTTTTTATCTATTTTTACTTTGTATTTTTCTTTTTTCTTTTTTCATTTTGTAAAATTCTAATAAATATCTTTTAAAAAAAATAAGCCAGACAGCTCCTGTTTTCTAAATAAACGGCTTTCTAATTTTTTACAAAATAAACTTTTTCTGAAAATAAATCCCTGTTTTGTGCCATGTTTTTATTATAGGGGAAATTTCTAAGTAGTGATGTCACAGGAAGAGGGGGCTGCACCCCCTTGTGACATCACAGGGAGTTGGTAGCCAATGGCCACAGCTGGGGAAACATCTGCACAGCCCTCCCAGGCCTCACAATGGGGGGGACACACCATTTTTAATAAATGACTGCTGAGGTGCCCCCCCCATTGTGAGGCCAGCGAGGGCTGTGCAGATGTTTCCCCAGCTGTGGCCATTGGCTACGGGCTCCCTGTGATGTCATAGACATCTACCAACTTCCTGTGATGTCACAAACAGACATGGCGAATGAGGGGAAAGAGGCAGTTTTTGGTGGGGGGGGGAGCAGCCCCAGGAGTTGGGGGGCAGGCGGGGCCATCCAGGGACACAGAAACGAGTTGCCAACATTTGCGCCCTCTGGGCTCTTGGGCTCATCTCGCCTACACAGCTGCCAATAAAATAAAATAACTGGTTTTGCCTCCATACTACTAAGAAGGGTTTTCAGAGGGTTTAAACACTGCCTGCTTTTAGAAGAAGGAGCCCCTGTCCCGTGCACTGCAGAGGCTTATGTAAGCCACAGAGACCCGAGTTCGAATCTCAATCCATTTGCAAACTTAAGGAGGGGTCAAGGGGAAGGAGAGATGGTTTTTCCTCAACTCCACCCCACCGCCAGCCTTATAGCTTTGCAACATTATCTTCCCTCACTCTTCTGAGATCTTTCTGCATTGTACATTTAATTTTTTTTTTTTGATTTTCACAAAATTATAAACAAACAAAAAACAAACAAAAATCATAGCCTCATTAAAAATTATACTTATTAACATTGTTAAGTGACTTCCTCGCTTCCCCTTGGTTGAATTTCAATGCATATCCTTTTAACGGTTTTCCAAATCACAGTTCTTATAAAATTTAACATTAGCATCCTTAAATCTTTTCATCAACGCAGAGCGCAACCCGAAAATACTTATCCTGAAGCGTATTTAACCCAAGATATGACTGTACTTTATTGGAAGCCGCCCAGGGTGGCTGGGGAGACTCAGCCAGATGGGCAGGGTGTAAATAATAAATTATTATTATTATTATATTATATGGTAGTGCAGTTGGCTGTTGCTGGCTTCAGGAGCTGCTCACTGCCATAGCGCCCGCCATTTTGCCTCGCCAGAAGTCCCCATATGACGTGTCTTGTGCCGTTGAACCAATCACGCAACATTCACTCCCTACTAATAAATCTACAACACTTAAAATATAAAACCGGGGACATTCAATGAAATCCGGGGACGGATTTTGTCTGGGGACAGATTTGTGAATCTGGGAACTGTCCCCGGGTAACGGGGACGTCTGGTAACCATAATTTTACTTTTTCCCATCTCTTCCAGGCTGAAAGAAGCCGGGGTGTCCTGTTCCATCTGCAGTATCGGTTCTACTCCCTCCTGCAGCCACCCGGTGCCTGAGATGGCCCAACTCAGCGAAGTCCACCCTGGGAACTTTCTCTTTTATGGTAAGGTACGTGGGATTCATAGAGTATTAGGGGAGGGGGCAGTAGCTCTGGATAGGGGACACATCCTGCTCCTTCCAGTACATTTCCGAGCGCAATTCAAAGTGTTGGTGCTGACCTTGAAAGCCCTAAACGGCCTCGGTCCAGTATACCTGAAGGAGCATCTCCACCCCCATCGTTCTGCCCAGACACTGAGGTCCAGCGCCGAGGGCCTTCTGGCGGTTCCCTCATTGCGAGAAGCAAAGCTGCAGGGAAGCAGGCAGAGGGCCTTCTCGGTAGTGGCGCCCACCCTGTGGAACGCCCTCCCACCAGATGTCAAAGAGAACAACAATTACCAGACTTTTAGAAGACATCTGAAGGCAGCCCTGTTTAGGGAAGCTTTTGATGTTTGATGTATTACGGTACAGTGGTACCTCAGAGTACATACCCTTCAGGCTACATATGCTTCAGACTCCGCTAACCCAGAAATAGAGCTTCAGGATAAGAACTTTGCTTCAGGATAAGAACAGAAATTGTGCTCCGGCAGCACGGCAGCAGTGGGAGGCCCCATTAGCTAAAGTGGTGCTTCAGGTTAAGTACAGACCTCTGGAACGAATTAAGTACTTAACCTGAGGTACCACTGTATTTTAATTTTTTGTTGGAAGCCGCCCACAGTGGCTGGGGAAGCCTAGCCAGATGGGCGGGGTATAAATAACAATAAAGACATCGAGGAGAGAGCCAATCTCACTTCCCTAGGCAGGGAGTTCCAAAGTTGCTTGGGGGAGCCACCACTGAGAAGGCCCTGCCCACCTAGTTTGCCGGGGAGGGGGGCAGCAGGACTGAGAGATGGGCCTCCCCCTGAAGATCTCAAAGCTCAGGCAGCTCCGTGCAAGGAATAGAAGCCATTATGGTAGGGCAAGCTCCGCAAAGAACAGCAAGCTAGCCAGGCTCTGGCTTGCAGCAGCCTTCCAAGTCCTCTCTGGCTGAGAGGGCTGCTCTGTGGAAGTTCCTGAGATCTTTCTGGGAATCTATTTACAATGAACTAAAAAAAATCTTTAAATATACCTTTATAAAAAAACCTGAAGCCTTTTTGCTGGGGATAATTGGAGAGGAAATCAAAAAGGAAGATCAAACACTCTTTCAGTACGCGACAGTGGCTGCTAGAACTCTAATAGCGCAGAATTGGAAGACATCAAAAATCCCAACTATAAACGAGTGGCAATCCAAACTATTTGATTATTTAGAATTGGCAAAAATGACACAGAAAATAAGAAATCAAAAAGACATAAAGTTTAACAAAGAATGGAATAAATTTATGACATACATGGAAACAGAGGTAAAAAATCTAAAAATCACAGTAGGTGTGACATAACACTTGTGATGTAAAGAGTTTTTTGAGGAAAAGAAACTGCAGATAAAAAATCATATAATATATTTTGAAACCGAGATGAAGGGAAGTCAATTAGTGTTGTGTGTTATTTAGTAAATGTAACCTAATTTGTTGGTATCTTATGTTAGGAGATGTTTTTTTCTTTTGTTTTCTTTATTATTATTTCTCTTTTTTATATATTTCTTTTTGTGTGTATGTGTTATGTATGTTTCTTTCGTTTGTTTTAATGTTTGATGTAGCAAAACGAATTAAAATCAATTAAAAAAAAGGAAGTTCCTGAGATCTGTTTTTCTAACTGGAGACGACTCTGCCGCTGTGCTCTGTATGCAGAAAGCTTCCCATTGAAAAAGGCAGATGGAAAAAGTTAAGAATGGCATGCCAGCCCCACCTGTTTTGGTGTTTTTTTTGCTGGAAAGATCCACCAGAAATTGAAGTTCCCCTTTCTCTCCCCCCCCCGCACATAATTTATGTAGATTTACTCCTCCGTTTCCAGTAACACTTTCCATGTGTTTCTCTTCCCCCACAGAGCTCGTTCCAAAGCTATGCTGGCGGAGAGGGGTGGCGAGGGAATCTGTCCCCCTGCGGGGAAAGAATAAATCAGCCCGAGCGATCCGGGAGGCCCCTTGAGCTGGCGACATTTGGCACAGCGTCACAAGAGCGGCGCAGTGTCTGAGAGGGGTCCCCAGGGGTCCAGGAAGGGATGCGGGTGGCGCTGTGGGTTAAACCACAGAGCCTAGGACTTGCCGATCAGAAGGATCGGGGGTTCGAATCCCCGCAATGGTGTGAGCTCCCGTTGCTCAGTCCCTGCTCCTGCCAGCCTAGCAGTTTGAAAGCACGTCATGTGCAAGTAGATAAATAGGTATCACTCCGGCGGGAAGGTCAACGACGTTTCCATGCGCTGCTCTGGATCGTCAGAAGCGGCTTAGTCATGCTGGCCATATGACCCGGAAGCTGTACACCGGCTCCCTCGGCCAATAAAGCGAGATGAGCACCGCAACCCCAGTCGGCCACGACTGGACCTATTGGTCAGGAGTACCTCTTTTCACAGAGATCTCGGTGGTCACTATTACCTACGGCCCCATCCGCCACTGACCTACGACCCTCTGAATCTTGCCCAGGACGGAATGCAGCCCTCAAAGCCACCGTCTCCAGCAGCGGGGCCTTTTCTGTGGTGGCCCCTGGAACAATTTCATTTGAATTCATTTATGTAAGAAACTTCCCCTCCCTCTCTCCCTTCCAGATGCCCAGCAGATGATGATCGGCTCCTGCCAGCTGGAGGACATCGCCGTCCGGGTCTTGACCAGGGTGATTGGCCACTACCCACACCGCAACCAGATGCTGGTGGACTGCGGCTGGACCGGCCTGAGTCTCCACAGCCTGGGGCAGCTGCCGACTGGCTACGCCCTGGTGGAAGGCCATCCCAACCTCAAGTAAATGGAGCTCGCTTTGGTGCTGTTGATCCTGGCCTTGTCAACATCTTAAAAGGAACTGCCCATGCCACTTGCAGGATCTGACCAAAGGCCCATCTAGTCGTGCATCCTGACTTGGGGAAGCCCAGAATACAGGCAATAGCCTACTGCTGTCATATGTCTCAGCAGGATACTGTCTTAGGGCTTATCTGACAACATTTTGGAGCTCCCAAGTCCCAAGGTGGTTAGATTGGTCTCAACTAGGGCCAGGGCCTTTTCAGTACTGGCTCCAATCTGGTGGAACGCTTTGTCACAAGAGACCAGGGCCCTGCGGGACTTGACATCTTTCCGCAGGGCCTGCAAGACAGAGCTTTTCCGCCTGGCCTTTGGTTTGGACTCACTCTGACCCTTATGTTTCCCTCCCATTATGGTTTTGATCTATGGGCTACTTTTAAAATGAGGCTGCATTTTAAATAATATTTTAACCTGCATTTTAAATTGGTTTCCCCCCCCATTATGTTTTTACTGTGATTTTACTGGTGTTAGTCACCCTGAGCCCTGCTCTGGCCAGGGAGGGCGGGGTATAAATAAAAATTATTATTATTATTATTATTATCATGTCGTCCCACAATTTTTTCCATTTGTCCCACGATTTCTGGGCGCAGTTCAGAAATGCCTTCCTTTTGTCTTGCCTCTTTCCGTAGGAAAACCCACAAATTTGCTCCTGAATCATAACAAGCGTCAAACCGCGGGAAACGTTTGTTCCGATTTGGCAGTAAATCGTAGGTTTTCCAGGGAATATTTTTTTTATACAGTGGTACCTCGGCTTCAGGATCTGTCCTTCCAGTGAGCACTCAGGGCTGATTTCCTTCAGAATGGAGAGGTTTGATCTTCTTGCAGTCCATGGGACTCTCAAGAGTCTCCTCCAGCACCAGAACTCGAAAGCATCCATTCTTCGGCGATCAGCCTTCTTTATGGTCCAGCTCTCACTTCCATACATCACTACAGTGGTACCTCGGGTTACGTACTTAATTCATTCCGGAGGTCCGTTCTTAACCTGAAACTGTTCTTAACCTAAAGCACCACTTTAGCTAATGGGGCCTCCTGCTGCCACTGCACCGCCGGAGCGCGATTTCTGTTCTCATCCTGAAGCAAAGTTCTTAACCTGAAGCACTATTTCTGGGTTAGCGGAGTCTGTCACCTGAAGCGTCTGTAACCTGAGGTACCACTGTAACTGTCTCCCATTTCGCCTTTTACTCGCCTTTTTTCTAAACGAAAAAGCCCGAAACACTGCACCGGGGAGTCTCTAAAACCCCTCAATAATTTTGGCAGCCATTTCTGAACCTTTTCCCAACTTGGCCATCTCCTCTCTGAGGTGAGGCGGCCAGAATTGTACACTGTCCTCCCAAATACGGCTGGCACCTTACGGATGCCATTTTTGCCTCACACCCATGAGATGGCTATTTTCTTTCTTTTTTTAAAAAATGATATTTATTGACAATTTAAAATTACAGGGGGAAAAAGGAAAAGGAAAAAGAGAAAAAAGAAATTAAACAATACAAGTAAAAAAAAAAAGAGTACAAAACACACAATACATCAGAACCAAAAACAAAAGCACAAAAAAAAGAATTAAAAACAAATCCAATATTCCCATATCTTTGTCTTTCATTAACTTGTTTCATCAACCTCCTCACACCTCCCTTTTTTGTATTCTAACTAATAATTATCTCAGCAAATCCTTTCCATCTTTCACTATATTCTGTCCTTTAGTTATCTTAATTTATTTTAACCTTATCTTACCATAAAAAGCCCTAAAACTTAAAACTTATTTGTACATAACTCCTTATAGCATTTCTACTAAAGCCAAATAGTTTCCTTCCAGCATTTTTCTAGCACTCATTATTTTTACAATATTTCTCTAAATAATTTTTTTAACTATCTTCCAATCTTCATGAGATGGCTATTTTCATGTGGCAGCATCTAACCCCCGGAACTCCCTGCCACTGGACTTCAGGCAGGCGTCTTCCCTGTTCTCTTTGCAGCGCCGGCCTGACGTCAATAGGCAACCTGAGGCAGGGTCGGGGGGACCAGAGACTCTGAAGCAAATCCCAACGGGCTTACAGATCTCTCTTTTCCCTCTGCAGGTTGGTCGGGATGACCCAGGAGCACGGCAGAATCGAACCCGTGGCAGGCAAGCTGGATTTTGCCCAGTTCCCCCTGGGCAGCCTCCTGGCGCTGATCCCTTATCACGTAAGTACGGCTTGCGTACTGGAGAGCATTTGCGCACTGAGACGCTGGCGTGCCTTCAGCCTCACTGGAGGGAAGAGCGTCTCTGCCCATGTTCAGAGTGCCTTTCCCTCTGTGCCTGTGTGTGTGTGTGTGTGTGTGTGTGTGTGGTCTTCCCTCTTGATCCTCTCTCTCTTGCACACACACACACAACTCTTTTTTGGGGGTGAATAATTATTGAGTTTTACAGATTTTATCATCATTACAATCAACATTATCTCAAAAACAAAATAGGATATAAATTACCCCCCAAAAAAACCCTCACGACTTCCCTCAACTTCCTTTTCTGGTTCTTTGAACGTTTGCTTATCCCTGCTTGTTTTATTTTACTTTAATATGCAGTCTTTAACTTAAGTATCATTACATTCTTCACATTTTTATACCCTACTTATTTTCGCATTTCCTCTTGCACTTTATTATTTTCCCATTCTTACACCTTAATTTCTACGTTGTTAATTGGTAGTGTTTACTCAAACCCTTTACGGTTTTTCTGTAGGTACAACATAAATGGTTCCCAGTCTTTTTTAAAATCTCTATTGTCCTTATTCAGGGTTCAGCCACCTTTTCCAGCTGTGTGCCGGTACACTGTCCCTCAAACCATGTGGTGGGCCGGGCTATATTTTTTTTGGGGGGGGGAATGAACGAATTCCTATGCCCTACAAATAACCCAGAGATGCATTTTAAATAAAAGCACACATTCTACTCATGTAAAAACACCAGGCAGGCCCCATAAATAACCCAGAGATGCATTTTAAAGAAAAGCACACATTCTACTCATGTAAAAACACACTGATTCCCAGACCATCTGCGGGCCAGGTTTAGAAGGCGATTTGGGCTGGATTCGTCCCCCAGGCCTTAGGTTGCATACCGCTGTCCTTATCTCTAAGTTTTGCTCTTAGCTTCGCCATTTCAGCATATTCCATCCGTTTTTCTTGCCAGTCTTCTTTTATTGGAGTCTTGTCATCTTTCCATTTTTGGGGGGCTAGTAAAATCCTAGCCGCTGTTGTCGCACACATAAATAACTTCTGTTCTTTTGGCAAGTCTTGACCTGTAATGCCTAACAAAATAGCTTCTGGGTTTTTTTAAAAAAGGGTTTTTTTATTAACAATTTCAACATAACAAAATATCGAAACATGTCATATTTGTTATTTTTTCCCCCTTTTCTCCCCACCTCCGAATCAAACCCTCCCCCCCCCCAGACTTCCCTCAGGTTCTCTCTCTGATTTCTCACCACGTATTCTCTGCATACTGTAAAACTGTATAAATGCTTATATTATCTGTCTACTGTGTTAACGGTCCATAAATCTGTGTATGTTTATTCAAAACCTGCCAAGGAGTCCAATTCATTCTGTTGTCTTTTTAAGTAATTTGTAAAAAGCTCTCATTCTTCTTTGTCAAAGTTGTCCTTATCTTCTCATTCTTCAAGTCAAAGTTGTCCTTATCTCACAGTTTGTATGTCAATTTCACCAGTTCCGGATAGTTCATCAATTTTTCTTGCCACTGTTCTTTCATCGGGGTTTCCTCGTTCTTCCATCCTTGTGCTATCAAGACTCTTGCCGCTGTTGTAGTGTACATAAATATGGTAGGTTCTTTGCTTTTTCTTGGCATGTCGTGTCCTACAATCCCTAACAGAAATGATTCTGGTTTTGTTGTTGTTGTTTAGTTGTTTATTCGTGTCCGACTCTTTGTGACCCCATGGACCAGAGCACGCCAGGCACCTCTGTCCTCCACTGCCTCCCGCAGTTTAGTCAAACTCATGCTGGTAGCTTCCAGAACACTATCCCACCATCTCGTCCTCTGCCGTCCCCTTCTCCTTGTGCCCTCCATCTTTCCCAGCATCAGGGTCTTTTCCAGGGAGTCTTCTCTTCTCATGAGGTGACCAAAGTATTGGAGCCTCAGCTTCAGGATCTGTCCTTCCAGTGAGCACTCAGGGCTGATTTCCTTCAGAATGGAGAGGTTTGATCTTCTCACAGTCCATGGGACTCTCAAGAGTCTCCTCCAGCACCATAATTCAAAAGCATCCATTCTTCGGCGATCAGCCTTCTTTATGGTCCAGGTCTCACTTCCATACATCACTACTGGGAAAACCAGAGCTGTAACTGTACGGACCTTTGTCAGCAAGGTGATGTCTCTGCTTTTTAAGATGCTGTCTAGGTTTGTCATTGCTTTTCTCCCAAGATGCAGGCGTCTTTTAATTTCGTGGCAGCTGTCACCATCTGCAGTGATCATGGAGCCCAAGAAAGTAAAATCTCTCACTGCCTCCATTTCTTCCCCTTCTATTTGCCTGGAGGTGATGGGACCAGTGGCCATGATCTTACTTTTTTTGATGTTGAGGTTCAGACCATGGTTTTTTTTACAAATGTCCTTTTAAACATTTTCTTCAGCTTCTGGCTTTTTAACAACTCTTGTGTCCCCGACAGGCCTGCGCCACCGCTGCCATGCACCCTGTCTACTACGTCCACAGCGAGGGGCGTGTGGTCACTACCTGGAAACCAGTCAGAGGCTGGTAGGAAGACGAGGAGGCGAGCAAAGACTCCCGAGCCGGAAGAGAGATGGGAACTGCCTTTATGATCCGCAAGGTGTACAAAGCGCCTTTTGAACTCGGGCCTCACGGGACGAGTTCAGTAAAACGATGAAGCTTTTTTCTGCATTCCTCAAGGAAAATCTGCAGCAGTTGGGGGTGAGCTTCGTCAACAATGTTTAGGCAACACGATGACCATATACATACCGTATTTTTCACTCCATAAGACACACCTGACCATAAGACGCACCTAGTTTTTAGAGCAGGAAAACAAGAAAAAAAAAATTCTGAACGAAACAGTGGATGTATGATTTTTGTGGTTCATTCTGTGGCCACAGACATGTGATTGGATGGTGAGTTTGGGGTAGCCCAATGCAAAAATCCTGAGAATCCATGTGGATCGGTGCTTTGTAACCACATTTTTGCGCCATTGCGGCCCCACGAAACAGTGGATGCGTGATTTTTGTGGTGCAGGCTGTAGCCATGGACATGCTATGTGATCTGATGGTGAATTTGGGGTGACCCAATGCAAAAATCCTGAGGATCCATGGGCTTTTACCTCCCCCCTCCCAGGCAGCCTGCTTCCTTTCAACACTCCCTTCCCTCTTGTTTTGCCTGTCTTTTCCTTAGCTGGAGCAGTTTCTTGCTCCTCCTTTTCTTCTAATTTCTCTCCTCATTGCTTTAGTCTTCCTGTTTCCCACCTTTGCAAGTTCACTGTCTTTATCTCCCCCCTCCCAGGCAGCCTCCTTTATCTCTAGCATCCCTTATCTTTCTCCCTGATCAGCAAATGATCAGCTGCTTCCTTTCAACACCCCCCCTTCTGCTTTTTGCCCCTGGGCAATTTGGCTCCAGGGACCACGCATTTGCTCCATAACACACACAGACATTTCCCCTTACTTTTTAGGAAGAAAAAAGTGCGTCTTATGGAGTGAAAAATACGGTGCGTAATAGACCATCTTTATAGAATTCCTTCAAACAATAACAAGTTCAAAATGAAATCTTAGGCTCAAAGTCTCTGAAAGTCTTTAAATGAAGAGAGGTACCCAACTTTGTACGATGAAAGATAAGCTGTGAAGCTTTGTGTATTCAGCAAATATAATGTCCAACACTGAACAGAGATTCCGGATTTTGACTGCTGTTTCGTAGGTCTTCGTCAGCGTGGTGGGAGAATATAGAATTGTTTCATAAACTGAAAATAAAATTTTACAGACGATGACCTGCATGACATATCACTTTACAAAAATTATAAACTGTGATACAAACAGTAATGAAAAAGAGTACATACCCCATCTTATTTCAAATGAATATATGTGAATGAATGGGGGTGAACTGGCAGGGTGGATTTGATTTAAATCGAATTGATTTAAATCACTAGTCAGTAAGACTTGATTCAAATCTCTCTTTTTTAACAGAAAGACTCATTCTTGCTGGTATCATCTTAATATTGACAACCAGATGAAGGTTTCACTTTTGGAATAATAAAAATTTCAGAGTCGTTTTCACAGTTATGTCAAAACTTACTGATTTGGGTATACTATTAGAAATACATAGGCTGATAATTATGAAATTATGGTGAGATTTAACTATATTTGGACAATTTTGCTGCTGTACTTTATTGGAAGGAGAAAAACAATCATTTCCTTAATAACAAACAATTTATTTAACTAAGACAGTAACATTATAGCATGTGTATCCATGTTTGCTAACTGATGTGGTTAAACAATTTTAAAAAACACACACTTAGACTGGGTTTTAGCACACATGAAAAACTCTAAACAAATCCTTATTTCCTGATGAATAGCCTTTGGACTATAAAGTAACTTCAGCAGGAAACTATCTTTAGAAAGATATTACCTCCAGAAGCATTTTATTTTAAAAATCTGATTAAAAAAAGAAAAAACTGATTTAAATTTTAAAAAAACTGATTTTGGGTTGTTGTTTTAAAAACAACAACAAAAACAATTGATTTTTATCCACCCTGTGAGCTGGGCAGCCAGAAACATATCTTAAGTCTGTGAGCAGCTACCTTATGGAACTCCCTGCCTATTGAAACCTTCGCAGCATAGTTTTCCCCTGCTTAAAACATTTTTTGTTAGGCAAGCCTGCCCAGACCTGTAGACGGTGACTGGTTTTAATCTCATTTCAGCCTGCTGTTAACTGTAATGATTTTAAAAAATGTTTTTAATGCCTTGTTTTAAACTTTTTTAAACGGATGATTTTAATGCAGTGAACGGCTTTGTTTACAAATAGGCAAGGTACAGATTTTGTTAAATGAATAAATGAGATGAACATAACCACTCCTGTAAACGGATCAGAACAAATGATCAATAAAGTGCGGCTATGATCTAACATCTGTGTGAGCTTTGTGTGTGCCAGTCAGGATGAGTGCTTGATAAACAGGTTCTTCTGGAAGGAGCCCTTGGTACAAGATAATAGAAAGATTCAGCGCTGGGAACTGAGAGGTTTAAAAAGTTTTAGCTGGTATTAGAGGGCTTTTGTGAAAACCAGAGCGCCACAACTATCGCTTTTGATGCTTATCAGCTCCTAACCTGAGATTAAATATTCTTATTATTACAACTACAATTTATTACGCATCTTTTGCCCCAAGGCAAACATGAAAGCTCATACCAATAACAATCTTAGTTGGTCTCTAAGGTGCTACAGAGACATCACCTTGCCAACAAAGGTCCGCATAGTAAAAGGTATGGTTTTCCCAGTAGTGATGTATGGAAGTGAGAGCTGGACCATAAAGAAGGCTGATTGCCAAAGAATGGATGCTTTTGAATTCTGGTGCTGGAGGAGACTCTTGAGAGGCCCATGGATTGCAAGAAGATCAAACCTATCCATTCTTAAGGAAATCAGCCCTGAGTGCTCACTGGAAGGACAGATCCTGAAGCTGAGGCTCCAATACTTCGGCCACCTCCTGAGAAGACTCCCTGGAAAAGACCCTGATGTTGGGAAAGATGGAGGGCACAAGGAGAAGGGGAGACGACAGAGGACGAGATGGTGGGACAGTGTTCTCGAAGCTGCCAGCATGAGTTTGACCAAACTGCGGGAGGTAGTGGAGGACAGAGGTGCCTGGCGTGCTCTGGTCCAGGGGGTCACGAAGAGTCGGACACGACTAAACGACTAAACAACAACAACAACAAGGTGCTACTGGAAGGAATTTTTTTGTTTTGTTTCGATTACAGCAGACCAACACGGCTACCTACCTGAAACCGTGTTATTCCTCTTATATCTTCCGCACTGAGCAAATGTGTGGCAGCCAGACCCAGGTGGTGGTTGTTAAATAGACTGACATCTTGAAATTTCTTTGGCTTTGTGGACTTGGGGGGCTGGGAGCCCTACGCACTCACCCCATTCCCCCCCCCAAACACACCCACCCCTTCTGAACAGGCAGCTTCGAAAAGATTAAGAGCAAGGGAGAGCGCTGGCTGTGCGAGGGTCGTGACACAAAGATCCCAGGACTTTAAAGGGATCCGGCCAGGGGATCATAAAATTCTAGGGCCCTCTCCTTCCCAGTTGGGGGGGGGAGCCTGGCCACACAGCTGCCTGCCTCTGATCTTTCTCAATGACCCTCCTTTGAAGTGCCTCAACAACTCCTGCCTATTCTTCCCAGCAGCGGAAAAATATATACCATTTGTTAATCCTGCGGGTTGGAATCGGGGGGGGGGGCGGCGGCTGGGAAGGTACCTGGGAAACACTTGGGGGGGGCGTTGGAAAAGAGGGTCTGCGAGGAAACAAGAAGTCCACCTTGCTTGGTACCACTGTGGTATCTCAGGTTAAGTACTTAATTTGTTCCGGAGGTCCGTATTTAAGCTGAAACTGTTCTTAACCTGAAGCACCACTTTAGCTAATGGGACCTCCTGCTGCTGCCGCGCCGCCGGAGCACAATTTCTGTTCTTATCCTGAAGCAAAATTCTTAACCTGAAGCACTATTTCTGGGTTAGCGGAGTCTGTAACCTGAAGTGTATGTAACCCGAGGTACCACTTCACTTTTTTTTTTGAATATTTTTTATTAAGAATTTCAACATAACAAATGATCAGAAATACATCATCCTCGTTCATTTTCCCCCTCCCCATTTTCCCCTCCCCCCTCCCCAAAAAAGAAAAACCCCACCCTTCCACACACACACACCCCAGACTTCCCTCAGCTCCTCTCTCTGGTTTTTCAGCATTTGTTATTCTCTACATGTCACAGAATTGTTTGTTGTTGTTGTTTAGTCGTTTAGTCGTGTCCGCCTCTTCGTGACCCCCTGGACCAGAGCATGCCAGGCACTCCTGTCTCCCACTGCCTCCCGCAGTTTGGTCAGACTCATGCTGGTAGCTTCAAGAACACTGTCCCACCATCTCGTCCTCTGTCGTCTCCTTCTCCTTGTGCCCTCCATCTTTCCCAACATCAGGGTCTTTTCCAGGGAGTCTTCTCTTCTCATGAGGTGGCCAAAGTCTTGGAGCCTCAGCTTCAGGATCTGTCCTTCCAGTGAGCACTCAGGGCTGATTGCCTTCAGAATGGAGAGGTTGGATCTTCTTGCAGTCCATGGGACTCTCAAGAGTCTCCTCCAGCACAAGAATTCAAAAGCATCCATTCTTTGGCGATCAGCCTTCTTTATGGTCCAGCTCTCCCTTCCATACATCACTACTGGGGAAACCATAGCTTTAACTATACGGGCCTTTGTTGGCAAGGTGATATCTCTGCTTTTTTTAATCTATCTAAATATTATCAATAAAAAGTTTGTGTATGTTTATTCAAAACCTGCCAAGGAGATCAATTCATTTTGTTGTTTCTTTAAGTACTTTGTGAAAGGTTCCCATTATCTTTAAAGTCACAGTTATCCTTGTCATGCAATTTAAATGTTAGTTTTGCAAATTCTGCATAGTGCATCAGTTTCTCTTGCCCCAGATCTTTGGTTGGGATTTCTTCATTTTTCCATCCTTGTGCTATTAAGACTCTTGCCACTGTTGTCGCATTCATGAAGATATTTTTTAGTTTCCTTGGCAGGTCTTTTCCTACAATCCCTAACAAAAATGTGTGGATCCAGAATTGGCCTCCACAGTCACTTTCCCTAGCACCTCATATGCTTCCCACTTAACTTGACTTCACATGAAACCCCAGAGTCACAAAAACTTTCGCTGTGATTCCTGCATTGTAGGAGGTGGAACCCGATGAGACTCTGAGTCCCTTCCAAGTTTGCAGCGCTATGATCATATGAAGCAATTTGCAGCAACACTATGAATCTATCTCTAATCTTCTTTGT